TATACAAGTGCTACGCATGTATAAAGTGCTAAGTATACAAGTGCTACATGTATAAAATGTGAGCAGCAATAGGAGCAAAAATGTCACAGTAGTAATGCTTGAAGTTTATACATACCCTGTCCTTTGCAAATTCAACGACTTCAGTCTCCCATTCAAGGGAATCTGTGTCAATGGCTGAATCATGGGAATTATGAGCCATAAGCTGCCGAATCCGGGCCTCTTTTTCCAGCTGGTTTTCCATTTTCTCTCTTAAAAAGGGAAGAGTTAGGAAAAAATACTCATCACAGACTCAAAATATTAAACTAGAACTAAAAAGGCAATTTATCTTATGTCACTATTTCAGTTGTGCGTTGCAGATTTGTGCATTCATCTGATTTGGAACTTTCATTTCAAATTATGAAGTACGTAAAATAACTGCAATTTCTGATGCCAAATGCAATTCAGCTCACATAGAATCTGACCATTGAAAACAATGGAAGCGATGAAAGCAGCACAACAATGCAAACAGCATGAAAGGCAACAGCAGGTGAGTTTGGGGTTACCACTCTCATTCTATGGACTAACCAAGTTCTGAGAAAAATGACAGTGTAACATGATAGAAAAAACAGGTGATTGAGTTGTTGGTGAGTATTTTTCTTGTTTCTTTCAAAACTCAGGTTATTTATAGTAATTGCAAGAAGCTACTGGTAAAGTAGATGAATAGTACTAAAGTTTATTAGCAATATGCATTAACTATAAGTTAATAAAGAACAATAAATTAAGTAACACATAATAAAGATGGCAAGGCAAGTGATTTTTTCCAACTACAGCATGTGGGAGCTAATGGATATTATTGTAACCCAAAACAACCTGCGTAAGTGTCTGTGGGTCAGGGGCTCCAGCTAAAACATGATGAATTTGATGCATTAGGGAAGGGAAAAGATCTTTGAACAGTTTGTTGCAGAAGGCAGTTCCACCTCTTAGAGTAACATCTCCTGATTTGGTCTCTGGCTGCAAGTGAGGAAAGGAAGGGGATCAAGAAAACATCTCAGCCATTGCAATTTTCCAACATTCTGCTGCAAATTGGATGAGGCAACTGACCATGTCACTACTATTCAAGTGGGGAATTAATAGGAATGTAGTAGAAACATATAGGAAACATTACAGTTTGGGGATAGACTTCATTCTCTGCAGCCAAAAACATAATCCAGAAGGCTGTATTACCTACTTGGTGCTATTATTTGTGACATCTGCTCAGAGATGGTAAGGATCCTACAGTAGAAGGGGGAAGGATCCAGTTACTGTGATCTACGTGAATATCAATGATGTAGGTACGAATGGGAAAGAGGTTCTGCTTAGGTATTATAGCAGACGAAGCCAAATTAAAAAGCAAAACCTTAAAAGGTAATAATCTCTAGATTGTTAACTGAGCCATGAGAAAACTAGTGCAAGGTAAAAAGGTTTAGAATGGTGGATGTGTGTCTCAGACTGGTATGGGTCTCATTCGTGGCACACTAGCATCAGTACTGGGTAAAGCAGGAGCTATATCATTGGACCAGGCTTTCACTTGAGCCACATTAAAACCAGTGTTCTTGGGAAATGTATTATTAAGGCAGCAGAGAGAACTTTAAACTAAATGGCGGTGGTGAGGATCATGTATGCATAGATGTGGTCAATAAAAGAATGACAATGAGGTAATAAAACAGCACAGCGATTCGGGTGATTATAAGCAGAGCGAGACAGGATGAGACAGAGATTAAAAGAGTACACCAGCAGGTAAGGCTCTGCATCTGAACCCCACACTGCATTTGCAACAAAAGGGATGAACAGGTAGGACAGATATAAATAAATATCTATGAGCTGATAATCATTACAGAGACATGGTCACAGAGTGACCAAAGCCGAGAACTGAATATTATTTAGTATTTAACATTTTGAAAAGACATGAAACTAGGAAATGGTAGTGAAGTAATTTTTCGAATGAAGAATTATTAGTACATTAGTACAACAGTGAGGGCCCTCCTTAATGGTCAAAAAACAAAACTTAATCTCAGTTTGTGTAGAAATAAGAAGAAAGTTCACCTGGTAGGCCCACTAACAGTAGTTACACTGTAGATAAAGTACAGGGGAAGAAATATATGGGAAGGTAAGAAATACACAATAATTGTGGATATCTTTAATCTACATGCAGATTGGGAAAATCAAATTGGCAAACATAGGCAGGAAATGAGTTTATACAGTGTATTCAGGATAATTTCTTAGAGCTGTATGCTCCAGAGCCAACGAGACAGCAGATTATTCTTGGCCTGAGATGGAGCAATAATTAAATTATTAAATAACCTCAAGATAATTGAGCCTCTAGGAAATGGCAATCGTACGATAGAATATCATGTCTGATTTGAAGGGGGTGAAATAGAGGTCTAAGACTAGTCTTTTCAACTAAATAAAGTTAATTACAAGGATATGACGGCTGAGCCAACTAAACTCAACCGAAGAACTAGGCTGAATAAATATTAATAGTTGAATAACGAAGTTAAGGATAGTGCCTAATACAAGGAAACACTGCACAATTCTGCAAAGATTAGTGGTAGATCAGAAGATTGGTCAGATTCTAAGAACTAGCAAAGAATAACTAAACAAAACAAAAAAAAAGAGTAAGCAGAATATGAGGTGAAGCTAGTTAGTCCTCAAAAAGCAGACAGGAAATATTTATATAGGAAAACAGTGTTGCTAGAGTAAAGCTATTATTGATTCTCGAAAGTGATCTAGGGAATTGATGAAAGGAAACAAGGATATTGCCGAGGCACTAAATAGGTATCTTGAGTTTGTCTTGCAAGACTTCCGAAGATGTTTGAAAATCAAACAGTGAAAGGGAGGGAGAAAATAAAGACTGCTATCACCAGGGTAAAAGGAGTTGGGAAAAATATTAGACTTTTTCTATTCATTTGTGAGATGCTGGCATTCTGGCGAGCCAGCATTTATTAAGCTTCCCTAGTTGCCCTTGAGAAGGTGGTGCTGAGCTGCCTTCTTGAACCGCTGTAGTCCGGGTGCTGTGGGTTGATGCACAACACCATTTTGGGAGGGAATTCCAGGATTTTGAACCAGCAACAATGAAAGAATGGCGATAGATCTCCAAATAAGGATAGTGAGTGGCTTGGAAAGGACCTTGAAGGTGGTGTTCCCACGTATCCACTATCCTTGTCCTTCTAGATGGGAATGGTCGTGGGTTTGGAGGGTGCTGTCTGAAGAACTTTAGTGAATTTCTGCAGTGAAACTTGTAGATCGTACACACGGCTGCTATTGAGTGTTGGTGGTGGAGGGAGTGGATATTTGTGGATGTGATGCTCATCAATAGGCTGTTTTGCCCTGGATGGTAAAAAGCTTCTTGACAGTTGTTGGAACTGCACTCATCCAGGCAAGTGGGGAGTATTTCATCACACTCCTGACTTATACCTTGTAGATGGTAGACAGACGTTGGGGAGTTACTCATCACTATTCCTAGCCTCTGACCTGCTCATTTAGCCAGTGTTTATGTGGCAAGTCCAGTTGCTTCTGGTCAATGGTAACGTCAGGGATATTGATAATGGGGGATTCAGTGTTGGTAACACCATTGAATGTCAAGGTCAGTGATCAGGTTATCTCATACTGGAGATGGTCATTGCCTGGTATTTGTGTGGCACGAATGTTACTTGCTATCTCTCAGCCCAAGTTGGGATACTGTCTAGATCTTGCTGCATTTGAAAACAGACTGCTTCAGTATCTGAGGAGTTTTGAATGGTGCTGAACATTATGCAATCTCGTGATGGAGAGAAGGTCATTGATGGAGAAGCTGAAGTCAGTTGGGCCTAGGACACTACCCTGGAGCTGAGATAACTGACCTCCAACAATTATGACCATCTTCCTATGTACCATGTATGACTTCAACCACCAGAGAGTTTGCCTGGATACCTATTGATTCCAGTTTTGCTAGCGCTCCTGGATTCCACACTCAGTCGGATGCAGCCATGATGTCAAGGGCTGTCACTTCCACCTCACCTCTAGAATTCAGCTCTTTTGTCCATTGTTGAATCAAGGCTGTAATAAAGTCTGGAGCTGAGTGGCCCTTGCGGAACCCAAACTGGGCGTTGCTGAGCAGGTGCTGTTTGATAGCATTGTTGATGACACCTTCCATCAATTTACTGATGAAGTGAAGTTTATCAACCTAAAATTTTATTCTCCAACACCAGGTGGCTTGTATCCTAGTCTTACTAAGATATCTGATGTGTTAGTTATAATCTTCCAAAATTCCTTCGATTCTGAAGATCCTGGCAATTTGGAAAATAACTAATACAAAATCTTCATTCAAGAAAGATTGGAGACATAAAGCAGAAAGCTAAAGACAAGTTAGCCTAACATCTGTTATAGGGAAATAACAAATTAGATTAATCTCTAAAAGTTTAATCACAGGCTAGCAAGGCCAAAAATGAAAGGGAATCTAAGAACCTGACTTCATTCCTAGAAGGATAGAACTGGAAAGTAGGAAGGCAATGCAAAGCCTGTACTGAACCTTGGGAAGACCCTGTGCAATTCTGGTCTGTGAATAATAAGCAGAATTTGGCACTTCTGGTCACCATATTACAAAAATGTTACAGAGGCACTGAGGAGGTTACAAGGATGATACCAGAAACATGTGGATATGCATAATCATCAAATAGTTTATAGGTTGGGTCTTTTCTTACTATAAACATGGCTAAGGGGTGACCATGTAGAGATCTTTAAATTTATGAAAGGTTTCTATAGAATAGAAACAATGAAAATGCTTTTCTCCATAAGAGGAAACTAAAGACAATAGCTGCCGTGAAATTCAATAAGGAATTCAGAAGAATTTTTTTTTGCCTAAGGAGCAGTATGAATGTGGAACTTACTACATCAGGGGGTGGGATGAAGTTAGTACTATAGATGCCTTTTTGGGAAAAGGGACAAACATAATGAGCCAAGATGAAACAGATGGTTATGATAGTAGAATTAAATGAGAAAAGATGGGTGAAGGCTTAAGTACAGCGTAAACAATAGTATGGTTGGGTCAAACAATTGTTTCTGTTCCATGTCATCTTATGCACAAACATTAACTGTTGCTTAGGAGTACGCCATAGCCTGTGTTGTCACTGAACTCTTCCCAGCATTCAGTCTTTTTATAAAGGAAATTACAAAGCATGTAGACAGGGAGTGAAATCAAAAGCCTGTAGACACAGATTATACTTATGTATTTAAAATAAATCTTTTCAGTGTTGTAAATACAATATCTCCTTTCCCTTGAAGCCAAATTTATTTTAAAGTTACTGTCAAGACACTTATTTCAAACAATAAACCAGCAATATTATGAAATACCAATCATGCAAAGAAATGGCGATGAGCATAACTGAAGTCTTAATCCTAGGAGTTATGTAAAATTACATAGAAATAAGTGAAAGCTTAAAGTGCTGATCTTTTATATCCGACATGATGTAGTTGCTTCTTTAGTTTTTAGACTACTTAGTTAAAAAGCTTTATTTCAAGTAAATCCCTACTTAATCCGAATAGTTACTGCACCAATAGAAGAGGATAATCTGTAACACATTTAAGGCTGAATTGTGCTTTACCACACAATGTTTTATTTTGGGACACAATGACTGGTTCATACAAAATGTTTCTATTGCCAAAAACACAGAATATGAACTTGTTAGCAGTTTTATAGCAGGCCTTAGTATGTTCACTTTTAATATACTCTGTATCTATTTTCCCAATCAATAATTTAAAGAGGAATCTTTCTTTTTTTGAGGGTTGCAGAGTGCTCCCAATACTTTTCTCATCCACACACGGCGAGGTCAGCTTTTATCGCACATGCCTAGTTGCCCATAGCACAGTTTTGTAATTTACTTGAAGCTAAAGTTATGCGAAGTTTTTTTTAAATTAACCTTTAAAAAGAAGTGTTATAGTGTGAAAATCAATTGGAGCAAGCAGTGGAGTTATCCTGTCAAGTCCTACATTAGAGACATGTTACATTGACTAATAATAGGTCCAACACAAGTTAGTTCTATTGTAAAAACACAGATCAGCATGTATCCTAGTCTTAAAATGCTGATTATAGGATTCCGAAGCAACTGAAAAATAATTCAGACTTAGTTCAGGACATTTAATAGCTGATTACTTTTATAGTACAAGGCGAAACATTTTAAAATGTTAAAAACATAAGCACTTGTTGCTCCACTTCCTCTAAATGGTGGCTCAGTGGTTAGCCCGGCTGCATCGCAGCACTAGGGACCCGGGTTCAATTCCAGCCTCAGGCAACTGTCGGCGTTACGTTTGCACATTCTCCACGTGTCTGTGTGGGTTTCCTCTGGGTGCTCTGATTTCCTCCCGCGGTCCAAAGGTGTGCAGAGTCTGGGTGGATGCTCTTCAGAGGGTCGGTGTGGACCCAATGGGCTGAATGGCTTGCTTCCACACTGTAGGGATTCTGTGATTTCTTTTTTTCCATTATTTTTTTCATTCAAACAATGAAACTTGAGGTTATATTGCCCAACTCCATATCAATGGATCAAGCAAGCATCAATCAAACCAAGTTCAAAATTTAAGATGTCACTACTTACTTCAGTTCCTTCAATTCGCGTATAGCATCATTTTTTTGTTTCATCATATCATCTAGATCCCGAAGAGCTTCAGCCAGGTCACTCACTGCTCTGTCCCTTTCCCGCCGTAAGTTATCACATAAAGTTCTAAACAAAAGTTAAATATTCTGGATGAACAGAATCAAAACTTACAAAATACAAATTTTATCATACCATATGGTACAGACAACAATTAGATTACACGGAATTGAAAACTAGGGTCTGAATGATGGTAAATCATGACAATAAATCACTTTTTTTTTGCAACCTGATGCCTAAGACCATGTTTCAGTCTGTATGTCACTTTACCACAACTCTTTCTTCATAAAATAGGAGAATGTATTATTTTAATAGCTTGAAGTAGCAATGATGCAGATAAAATACAGAAGGCTGGTGGACACACAGAAGTAGCTTCACCATAACAGTCCATTAAAATAGCAGAGGTTGGATGACCATTTATGGCAACTAGTAATATCAAATTATGATAAATGGAGATATTGCTGGGAAGAGAGTGTAAGGAAGGAGAAAGTTGGATGTGCGCTGCTGAGAGAGAGCAGTGACGAAAGACTAAACTGAGAAAGAAAGAGAAGAAAATATTAGAAATGAATCTCTACTATATAATATTAAACTATGATCAAAATGCAAAAATGTATTGATGGTATATGGAAAGTTACAAATCTTGTTTGGTAGTTAATTATATTCACATCAGTAAATAGGGACTAAACACAAATACTCTGCAGGAAAATTTATCTCACCTAACAAATCTGTTTCAAGGTAACCAGGATATATTCTACAAAATACAGAATGAAAGAGCTTTGCTGCTTCCCAGCAAAGGGTTAAATGGTATAAGCTGTGAAAAGCTGAGGCACCAGGACCAGAAAGTCTTAATTTCAATTGCTGATCTGTGCTAATAGCTGGTAGCAGCTGGTATAGGATGTTACAACTAGTCTCAATAGCATCAAGTCAGACAAGGAAAAATCAAATCAGTGTTCAGGCACTACCAAATACATGAAAGTACATGAATGCTATAACAGCATAGGATTCTGAAATTGCTGGCAGCTGCCAATTTCAATTGGCAGAGGGGCTGTTGTTAAAGACTTCAGATCGAAAATTCCACCAATTTCATTTTTCAAATAAAAAACTGCTTTGATAATACAGCCAACAATTTCAAAACCCTGCCTGAGTTGGTCAAAACACTAGCTTGGTGGCAAACCTAGATGAGAATTCGAGTCCGTTGTCATATCCTTCCCACTACCCACATTCCCTATCCACTCCAATACTGAAGTGCTGGACAGTAATCGTTGCCAAAACTCTACTATAAATGACCTTTGGATAGTGTGCTTAAGACTATATCTTGAACATATTATTGCCTTCTGCGTAGAATCAAGGAAAATATATGACCTTTAAGGTTAAGCTAATTAATTTGTGAATGTAATTAATGTGCAAGTGCACTTACCTTATGCTTTCTCTTTCTGCAACTATTTTATCTCGTTCTTGGAATGCCCAGTCTCGCCTACGTTTAGCTACTTCTGCCTCCTGTATGCCTTCCTTCAGTTCCTGGGACATTGCCTCACACTGCTTCCGAAGCATCTCGATTTCCTTACTGGCCCTTTCCATGTCCAATGTAGCTGAATCTTGTTTCTGTAAATTCAAACACTAAACAATTTGTGCTGCTTTGAAAATTTTAACAATAATCTATCATCCTATTACTATGAAGCATAAACAGACTGTATTTGTACGGAGCAATAGGTCAGGAAATAGGAAACAGTTACTCAGTGCCGGATCTGAAGATACATGCCAGATGTTCATGTTTCATTTATTAAAATTAAAAAGGTAATCTATTTTGATAAGGACAAGATATTTTTACTCAGTCACTCTTTGCTCGCTCTTGCTAATTTGCTGACCACTGCCACACATTATTATAAAATGATTATTAATTGCCTTCATTTCCAAAAATACAATGAGAAAGCTTTCCAAAAGTTAGCATTATTTAAGTGTATTTGGCATTCTGGGCTTGCTACACCGGTATTTCTTCTATAACGCGATAGTTGCATTCTTGTGAGACCTCACGCTGTAGAAAATCACCATAGAAAATCGCATTATAAGGAAATCGCTATCCTGTACAGCAGAAAGTTTGTGTTATTCAAATAGCGTCCAGTATTCATCAATCATATTACAGCCAATTCGCATTAACAAAACACACATTACAGCAGAAATACCTGTATATAAATTGGTTATAGTGTTTGTGAACCAAACTGCAGTGTTTCTCCAACATCACTGGGTATCAAGTGTTTAGGGAGGCCCTGAAGATACGAAGGGCACTAATATAAATGCCAGTTTTTTTTTAAATTTCTTGACGAAATGGCAAGAAACAGAAAAAAAAACTGGCATTTATATAGTGCCTTGATATTCAATGACTTATCTTTGGAGAAAAACTGCTTTGTTCACAAACACAGTAGCTAATTTATATACAGCAAGATCCAGAAGTAATAAAATACAACAAAATAAGAAAAAAAAAATCAGTTGCATTTGTCTTAGTTTTGGTTCAGTTAAAGAAGAATTGTAATACTGGTCAGGTAAAATAACACGACAACCTTTATAACGTAAGTACCTAGCTGTATAACAGTTAAGATCACAACCAGAAGTAAGTGATTACTAGAAAAAATTATTGTTCTTTAACCAGTGCAAGAGATTGCATGACCTAACCTATGTATAATATTGACCTTAATGAATGCAAACAGCACTTGAATTCATGTTTACTGAGCTTTCAAAATGTTTCTCATTTCTTATAATAAAACAATGCTACCTAAAATAACTGAGTAATGTATTTCTGCAAGTTTTAAATTATGCATTACTTTTGTACTCAAAGGAAATGTTCATACTATTATCATTTGAACTGTGGATGATGATGAGCAGGACAATTAAAAAGGCCTGCAAATGCAGAAATCTGAAATAAAAATAGAAAGTGATAGATATTTTGCAGGATTTCTCCAAGTGGCAGTGTGTCAAAATCTGCCTCCTTGTCTTGCCTCATAGTCGTGGTGCAGTTCCCTTCAAGATATATGTAACCACTTATCTGTGTCTCTGTCTAATGGAGAGAAACGCCTCTGATTCTTTGTGAACTATGGCTAATTTTATTCCTTTCTCTATGACACGAGGACGGCAGGTCATCGATATGTACCATAATCTTCAACTTCAATACCTTCGTTGCCCTTAGCTACTTCTTTCACAGGGAGCAAGATTAATAGAAAAATAAATGCAATGCTCTTTTAGACAGATGAATGAGCTTAAGTATGATGAATGGCAGAAGGTGGCATAACTTATTCTGGTTTCAGAGTGGCCACCATGGCAACACAGAATTGCTGCAGTAAAACTGTCTTGAATGAATAACTGGCATTCAGAAGGTAATGAAAATTTTCAAAAGTCAAAGCCAGGTTATGGCGCACTCCGCAGTTGCACATCCGAGAGAAAGACCACGTTCCTTAAGTGACTCATCTTTCAGCAGAAAAACATAGAAGCTTAAAATAACATTGGATACAAATGTTGAATTCATAGAAAGTTCAAGACAAATGGGAAGTGGGCTGTGGTGCAAGTTGCCTGTCTACTTGGAGAAGCTAATATCTTATTGGCATCATGAATGTCTAAAAAGTCCAACGTCTAAGGAGTCTATTCTAGAAATGGCTACCGACCAAACAGGTGCAAGTGCAGACTCAGTCACTTCTGGATGCAAGCACAATAATCAGCATCTTATACTCCTTCCAAATTGGATGACAAGCAGGACACAAACTTCTGGTAAGAAAGATCAGAAACTGCTCAGCCTGGTTATCAAAGAATTTTAGCTGCTCTGAGAGATTCGATCTAATGATTACACTAATATATGGTTATTACAGAACTGGTGAATCTTGAACTTCTCCCAATATGATATGTTAACGACTGAAGTAGTCATTTCTAGCCAACAGTATCACATAATGGGTGCTTCTCCTGCACACCATGCAGAAAATTCCTTCACACCAGGAACTTCATCTAATGGATAATCATTTTCCCGTAATGTAACAGCTGTCCTGTACAGAGCTTTGGAGAGGGTCAAGAAGAGATAGAAGTACCAGCAAATGCATCATTCTTCAGAAATTACACAGAATGCCAATCTTCTCATAAAACTCAATGCCATTTTCTATTGTCACATTCCGTAATCTTTGAAATAACCACAGACCAATATTCAAGCTGGCAACATTATTAGATCTTTTAAAACTTGCAGGTGATGCCTAGCACTGACAGGTGGTCACTGCGGTTCGCCTAAGAGAACAATTATTAGGAGCCGTAAGGCGAAAGACGACAACCTCGAAAAATGGCTTTTGTTCCAAGACAACCAGGAACAACAGCTAATGAAGATAATGTTGGGACCATCACTGCTTTTATTTTCCTCATTTTTACTTAGCTCTATGAGCTGAAGTTGAGAGTTGAACTTTGGACTTTGAGCAGCAGCTTTTAAAAAAAAAAACAAGAAAAAGAAAACTGATATTTGTTTATAGGAACTGGCCTGGAAAGTTAATTGCAGGTAGATTATTGTTCGAAGAATACTACAAATGTTTCAGTACCTCAGATGTATTATGCTCAAGGACTGGCAGCTGCTTGGATCAAAGGAAGGCCAGTGCCAGCCGGTCAAACAGAGAAAGTTGAAAAAAAAGAAACCATGAATTGAACTGGTTTGGATGGGGTTTTGGGTATGGCTGTGAACGCTGCTGAAAGGAGTTTTGGTTGCTCTCTAGTAATTTGCCAGTTATTGAATTAAAGAAGGTTCTGTGAAAGGAACCCCAGTCTGTAAGACACAAGTAAGTCTCTCACCACCTGCATAAGATGTTTGCACGAATCGGTGACTTGTAATTCAAGAAAGTTACAATCCTACATGTCTAGAATACCACACAACATTCAAAGATTTCTGAAGGGCTAGCAAAGTATTGCTAGTTAATGGCAGAACCCTTCGGAACATTAACATACAGAAGGATCTGGGCGTGCAGATCCACAGTTCCCTAAAAGTGGCAATACAGGTGGCCGAAGTGATTAAGGAGGATATGGCATGCTTGCCTTCATTGGCCAGGTCATGGAGTACAAGAGTTGGCAAAATATGTTGCAACTATATAAAACCCTTGTTAGGCCGCATTTGGAATTTTTTGTGCAGTTTTGATTGCCACATTACCAGAAGGATGTGGAGGCTTTGGAGAGAGTGCTGAGAAGATTCACCATGATGTTGCTTGGTTTCGAGGGCATTGGCAATGAGGAAAGGTTAAAAAGACTAGGAAGGACGGCAGCTGATGGCAGACCTGATAGAGGTCTACAAAATTATCAGAGGCATAGTTAGGGTGGATAGTCAGAGGCTTTTTCCCAAGGTTGAAGTTTCAATTACTAGGGAGCACAGGTTCAAGGTGAGAGGGCAAAAGTTTAAGGGAGATGTGCGAGGAAAGTTTTTTGTGCAGAGAGTGGTAGAAGCCTGGAATGCACTGCCAGAGGTGGTGGTGGAAGCAGGTACGTTGGCGACATTTAAGAGGCATCTGGATGATTACGTGAATAGGGAGGGAATAGAGGGTATGGATTGAATAAGGGCAGAAGGTTTGTTTTCTAGTTTAGTCAAGGCACGATGATCGGCACAGGTTTGGAGGGCCGTACTTCTCTTTTGTTCTTTTGTTTTTGTTCTTGTTCTTTTGTACAGATTGTGAAACCGTTGAACTGACAAATTACAATTCTATATTTTTTAAAATTTATCCCTTAACTGCATCTGTCTGTCCATCTGTATGAGAGGGAGTGTGGTGTTTAGAGAAGACGCGGTGTAGATCATAGGTATCGAGTAGATTGTCTAGCTGATTATCCAAGTTCTGATAAAGTTACATTATTAATACCGAACCATTAAGTCTTTCACTTTAAGCATAAGTTTGCTATCTGATATTTTTACAATTATTCATAAAGCCTGGTTAGGAACCAGTGGGCAATTTTGAGAATCATTGAATATTTTAATTTCACTGTGTTGCGATATCCATTGTTAATGAGTCTGATTCAGTCTGGTTTGTTACACCTATGTTGTAACAATAATGCTGCTGGCATCCATGATAAAGCTAACTGTAATACAATAGTTCCAGAGAAGGGGATTTCAGGAAGAGAAGACATTTCATAGTCGAGGACTACTGCATAGAAATATATGCAATAGCAAAATGACTGGGCACCCACAAACTTCATCCACCTGAAGCGATGACAATACATGCCAACACCAAAGTTCAGAGCTTTCTTTTGTGTATAAATTCTAGCATTGAACGTTCCCACTTTAAATACTATCAAACCGCTGTAATTGGAAAATTTGAAACTTTATGCTTCTACATTGTATTCCCACAGTAAAATATTGTACAGTAAACACTGGAAGCTTTGAATTTCTCAATTACATGAAAGCTTCCAAAGCAAACACCTCTAATTGGGGCCTATGTCAATTTGGAAAAGTGTTGGTTTCGAGATACTTGTTATAGATTCCTACGCATTTAGCTTCTTTAGTGCAAAGAATGATTTGCATTTATATAGTGCCTTTCATAACTTCAGAACATCGCACAATGCTTCACAGGGAATTAAAACATTTGTGAAGTAGTTACTACTGAAGAAAACAGCAGCCCATTGTCACACACAAAGGTCCAACATACAGCAATTTGACAATGGTCAGATAATCTGCTTTTTGGAACAACGTACCTTCAATTTTGCATTGCAATGTCAACCTAGATTTTAAGCTTAAGTTCCTGGGTGTGGGAACTTGGATCCGCAGTCTTCCGAACCATAAGCTATTATTTGCTCAAAAAAATCATCAGGCGATGTCAGCATTAAAAGATCACCAGCTGATTATGGGCAATGACCATTGCTTCAGTTCAGTCACCCTGTATATCCAGTTGTTAGGGTGTCAGTTTGCTCGACTGACTGCACGGCTGGTTTATCATGCACAGTGATGCCAACAGCGTGGGTTCAATTCCATGAGGTTACCATGAGGATCCCACCTTCTCAGCCTTGTCCCTCGCCTGAAGTGTGGTGACCTTCAGTTTAAACGACCACCAGTCGTCTCTCTCTAATGAGAGAGCAGCCCTATGGTTCTCTGAGACTATGGAAACTTTACTTTTAGATCTAATTGTTGAAAAATATTTTAAATCACTGCGAGAGTCTGTTTCCAAACTTATTGGGAATGTGTGCTATGGCTTGCTTTCACCAATTAGGCATTAATGAAAATGCCTGCATTAACCAAAAATCTAACTTCATTCATAAACATTATTATTAAGTTCTACTACTACATTAATACTCATGGAGTGGACAGTAATTCAACTAAGAAAAAAAGAATGTTGGCTGCATTCTTTCATTATTCACACTTGTGTCACTTCCAGTATAATCAGGACAAACTTCCCATCAGTTCATTTTTAGCCCAGACAGAACAACATTTTTTGATGCTTTTTATGTCATCAGTCATGACTAAACTGAGCAGCGTGCCGGTAGTACCATTAGCTGGCCCTTTCATCATACACTTGACAGTAAGGAGCTCTCTAACACCCTTGGAAGATTGGGGTACAATGAAAAAGTCAGTAGTGATAGCCATTATTCTTGTTCAACTATAGAATTTTCATTTTTTTGAAAGGCAAGTTCCAATTCTAAGAAACCAGTGATACTTTATGTACTTTGTGATTTGTCAGAGTTGAAGTTCTTCTTTTAAAAAGTTAACATTTGAAATAATCTAGTTTTTTTTAATCCATACAAAAAGGCAATGGGGTACTCACAGAATTAAAAAGAAATGTATAATAAATAGCAATGAAACAACTCCATACAAGGGCAAAATTCACCTGTCGGGCCTGGTAGTACTCCCGCAGCAACTGATCTCTCTGGATGATAGCTTCTGTTCTTTCCTTCCTAGCAACATCTCTCTCTTCTTTCACAGTCTCAATATCCTTACAAGCCTGATCAAGCTCCTTTTGAGCTTCTGCTTTGTCCTTCACTTCATGGCAGTATTTCTCCAGCAGTTCATTCCTTTCACAGATAGCATGATCTCGTTCTACCAGCGCAGAATGAAGCTCCTGAAATTTAGTTGCAACATACAAGTCACATCACTATTTTCATCCAACACAGTAAAAATTCTGTCTTGCATGTCGCTCCCATTTTGAACGAAAATACAGTTGTACTTTCAGAAGTTGCACTCTGCAACAATTCTATAACATTTGTTTTAGTTGATTTAGCTGTTTATATAATTTGAAGGATACTTTATATTAAACCTTTTCCATCCTCTCAAGGAAAACATGGATCAACATGCATCATCACAAGACTTGGGTACTTGAGCATCTAATGCCAGAAAACACTAAAATATGTTAATCATTTAAATGTCCAACTACTGCGATGATTGGCAAAACAGTGATTTTTTTGGTTCCTCTTTCATCCTGATGACCTTGTTTTGTTTTGGATTTCTTTTGCTGCTTCCATCTTATCAAAAAATTAATCACCTTCAATTTCACATCTTCTGCTCGAGCGTTCAAACTCTGGTTGAGAGGCCAGGCGAACAATGTGCTTGCAGCTTACGTACAGCAAGTTCAACTGCTAGTAGTTGAAAGAAATTTCTAAGCCTTGCCTCAGTTTTTTCTGGCAACAGGTCAGAGTCACAGCACATTCCTTTTTTTTGGCTGCATAGGACAGACTATTCAGAGGACTTATCATTGCACCATCTCTTGCTTTACTTTAAAAGATACATGCAATTTGAACAGAATTTTAATGCTTATTCTCTGATCAGTCAGCACCATATTTCAAAATTCTGGATAGAGTCATTCAAAGGCTTAAATTTTAAAATATATCAATCAATTAAGTAATTTCATTTTATTGCAGTAGAATTGTTCAAATCACTTGTTGGGTTTTCAATGAACAGGGACTACACTTCAGAATTGCACAACTATTGCAGTCTAAAGATGATACAAAATAACAACACACTCCTTTGTAACCTCCTGTGAAATAAAGTGCATCACAACACCCTGCATCATGAAATTTAGCCAAGCATGCCTGCCGCATGTCTTCTGCCACCAAAAACAAAGAAAGGAATCTATTTCCATAAGTCCAGATCATTAGGCTGGATCACGCTGGATGTGCAAAGATGTGCGGGTTAGGTGGATTGGCATGCTAAATTGCCCATAAGGGTGTGCTCGCTGGTGAATAAGCTTCAGGAAATGCAGAGTTACAGGGATAGGGTAGGGAGATGGGTCTGGGTGGGATGCTGTTTGGAGGGCTGATGTGAACTTGATAGGCTGAATGGCCTGCTTCCACACTGTACGGATTCTATGATCATTGAAGCATAAATCAGCATTAGCAACGGTGCCTGGGGATTAAAAGACACAGCAGGAGCTGTGAGGCTCCAGAGCTTGCTGATTGATTTATTCCACTCAGGTATTTGAAGAACTTGTTGGGTCTGCACATTGATTGCTCATCAAACCTGCAACAGAAAATTAAGGCTGGAATTTAAACAACATCAAGTAAATTTACTAACATGACAACTGTTAATGCAATCATTGAATCTCTGAGAGGGTCTTGTGGTGTATTGTTATGGATAATTTTTTTCAACTTCTCTGGCCCAAAAAGTCAACAATTTAAAGCACTCAACATTTTAAAAGACCTATCGGTTGTTAGAGATTTTTAAGATGTCAAATTTTAAAATATTTCTAATGTTTTCCTACTTTTTCTTTGTTTTTTTTCCTCTCTTTTGCAATCCGATCTTTCTTTCTTGCGCTTTGTTTTTCTGTATTATTTGTATATGATCTGATTCTAATTTATCCTTCTTCTGTAATTCCTGTTTTCATCCGATTCTTAAATAGCACGGTAAAGGAAAGAGTCTGCTATTGATTCAGGTCCAGCGCATGTTACCCTCATAATACTGTTATCAGGTTGAACTTCCAGCAAGTCAAAATAAATTTAAGCTGAGGGGTGCAGAGAAATGGCTAAGAAACAAATTGTGCCATGATATTCCCATTCCAGAAAAACCCATTTCAATGTATTGCAAAGAGGTTAACTCAGATTTTACGACAGTAAGAGACTCAACATAAATCAATGAGCTTGGATGCAATGGATATTAGATAAAACTTTGAACAACTGTAGCAAAATAATTGAATCAGCATTCCAACATGAAATTCCTAATGGCTCTGCCAAATAAGAATAGATCCTAGACCTCAGGCCAGCACTCAAATATTCCTCCCTATTACAAAACAAATAAGTGCCCCTAAATGCAAATTGAAAACGCTCTTAAATATACATTTCAAAAGCCCATAAATGTTTGGGAAGGGAACAAAGGGATCAGGTGCCAATGCAAATCAAATTAAATAATTTTCAGCTGCAATATCTGGGAACAGAAGGAAAAAACTGGTGATCGGGTGACATTTCAAAATTATCTTCATATTTGAGCTCCACGGTTATATAATTTTTAGAAGAAGAGGGATGAAAGTTATGTAATATTGTAATTAGAGCATTTTGATTCAATTAATCAGTAAATTGTCATGCAGACTTTGTCAAGCTCAACCTAAATACTTCTCTTGCAAAACCAAAGTAATAATTATATTTGTAAACTGAATGAATTATATCCAACTAAGCCACATTTTAACAAAGACCTTTCAAAATGAAAGTCTGCACTCCTGAAATGATGCATTTGTTCTCCCTAATCAATTCATCAATATCACAAGGATAAAATTTGCCTGAGAATTTCAGAACTGGTATTATAACTGGTCTAAAGGGCTCTGATCAGATGATATATTGCGCCTGCTGGGCATTATACAAAAATGCAATGAACTTTGGAGTAAGAGCAACAAGTCTAAACAGTTTTAAAAATATAGACTAAAGCTCATTTCAAATTTCCATTAGAGAGTTCTCAACAGCATGAAATGGAGTACTCTACTATAATGTGCTATGTAATTTTAAAAGACTAGACTCGACCCAAATATGATTGCTGAGAAGTTGTAAAGTCCATATTCTTGAGAATGCAAAGCTGATAATGTCAGTCACTGCAAATTTCTTCAACCAGGGGATGGTGAATCTGTGAACTCATTGCCACACACAATGCTGTGGACCTCAAGTCATTAGTATACTTAAGACAGAGACAGATAGGCTCTTGATTAATAAGGGGATCAATGGTTTCAGGGAGAAGGCAGGGGAATGGGTTGGAAACATATCAGTCATCATCAAATGGCAGTGCAGATTCAATGAGGTGAATGGCTTAATTCTGCTCCCATATCTTATGGTCTAAATAGCTTATTCAGGAAGGTGGATGCACAGACTTCTCTTCAAAGTTATCTCCAAGAAGTTGATGTATCCCATTTTTTTTCTTGAGAATAAATGAAAGACTTTAATTAAAAAGAACAGTTGCATCACAGCTGCCACTATGGGAAACATCGAGAAAAATGGAATATGCTTGACTATCCAAAAACCTGGGTAAATTACATATATTCATTTTGATTACAACAGTATTTTAAAATTTAATCAAGCCAAGAACTACAACCACTGCATGTGCGCTTAAATTCAAGCCTCTTCATATGTATAACATGGATGAGAAAAGCAAAATACTAAAATAGTACAATTCTTTTTAACATAAATTACTTTTTAACCTAGGTAAAGAGTTGTGGATAGAAAGAAAAATGAAACATCAAGGAAGGAAAGAAAGCTTGAAAAGTATTCAAAGGATATCCTGATTGATCTTACCTGTCGAAGAGCTTCAAGTTCTTCACCGGCTACTTTTCTCTCCGATGAGGTGTTCTTTAGATGACCCTGTGCCAATTCCAGTTCAGTCTGCAGCTTGTCAATTTCTTTGTGTACTTGGTCTCTTTCACTCATGACCAGGCGGTATTCATTCAGCACTGTATCCCTCTCTTCCTTATACTTCTCTGCATCCTTTACAGCTTTCAGCTGTAATGTCTTGAATCGAGTCACCTCAGTTTGCAACCGTTCCATTTCCCTCTGGATCTCTTTGTTCTGTACTGTTGCCTTACTTAACTCATGCTGTATTGAGTCATACCTTTGGAAACAAAGTCAAAGCAGGTAAAGTTTAATTTTTCCTATTAAAATAATCACAAGATTATATTATATTTTACCAAAGTAAGTATATTTGTTCTCTACTTTTCCTTAACAAACATTTCAAACAATGTCAATATTTTTCGAAGGTTCAGTGGAAATACAAAATTTTATAATGAATTATCATTTGAATATTACATTTTTAAAATATTTGCCTTTAACGCTTTCATTACCTGCACTCCGAACAATACTTTCTGATATAATTATAGTGAAGAAATAGTCTTTATCGATGGAACACTGCTGCAAGGAGCATTCTTGCCCCTAACATAATTGGCAGCAGACAAATGGTTTTTTAAAGTTGTTTTACATTATACACTTGCCTTATCTCTTTCAAAATAAATTGCATTAGCATTGGAAGACGACCTTGAAATTGGGTGTCTTTAGCCCCCATACCAATAAGAGTGTAGGGGTTTACCGGTATTTGCAAAACATCCACTTTACTGAGATTTTGTCTCCTTTGCTGTAAAAAATAAAGTGTGACCTTCTACTCTTTACCATACCTGAAGAACTATGTATGCAAGCCCGAGACCTTAGCTCTGTAGAACACTGAGAATCTGCATCTCTCCACTTCTCAAATACTATGTGCACAATTTTTAACCACAATTCCAAATTCTAATTTTCTTTTGAGCTTTACTATCTGCACCAAATGGCATTACATTTTACTATCATGTAATGTGCATTGACTTTAAACTTTTGAAAAATTGTTTTTTTTTGAAACTTTTGAAAAATTGTTTGTAAAAACTTTTGAAAAAAACGTTTTTTATCATCAAATTGAAAAGATACCTTGGAATGGAAGATTGGCAGTTCCGTTTTATGTGGAATACAGGAGATTCTGGAGAAAATATTTTTAAGTTTAATAAAAAAAAATGTCAGCCTGAATGTCTGACCAGCCAGAATGTAATAAAATAATATGCTAAGAGTAGAAATCACATTTTTCTCCATTGGCCTAAACTTTCATGGGGGCTAATAGACATCTGTTAGTGTGAAAAACGATCAGATTGTTAATGTCACGTTATTCATTGCACACAATATAGCTTCTGATACAGTGTTCCCTTCTTAAGAGTTCAGGGTTCCAAAAATGCCAAATATGTCTATAAAAGCTCGAACTTCAAAGAATTCCACTTTGCATCATTTATATCGGATTAGTACAATGCTCTTCATAAACCACAGTTCTTTTTGGGTCCATACCAGTTTCTTAACAAAACTATTGGATGTCGACATTGTCCTTCACACAGATTATAATAGGGAGGTTATGCTGGTGCTGCACAGGACTTTGGTTAGGCCACAGCTGAAGTACTGTGCGCAATTCTGTACTAAGGAAGTGGGACACCAGAGTGGGAGCAAAGGAGGCTCACCAGGTTGTTGCCGGAGATGGAGCAGTTTAGCTATGATGGATAAGCTCAGGTTGTTTCCTTTAGAACAGAGAAGGCTGAGAGAGAACCTGATCGAGGTCTATAAGATTAAAAGGGACAAGGACAGGGTGGATAGGAAGCAGCTGCTCCCCTTAGCTGAAGGGTCAACAAAGTGGGGGCATAATTTTAAGGTGAAAGGCAAAAGATTTAGAGGGGTTTTGAGGAAAAGAAAATTCAGCCAGAGGGTGAGGGAATCTGGAATTCACTGCCTGGGAGGATAACGGAGGTGGAAAACTTCACAAAGTTTAAAAAATACTTGGATAAGCACTTGAAATGTCATAATATTCACGGTTACGGACCGAAAAGTGGGATTATGTAGATTTAGAATTGCTTTTAGTTGGTGCAGACTTAATGGGCCAATTATTCTATATGATTCACCTCTTCAATGTAGATAAATACTGTTGCTGAATTGATGTTTTCTCCACAACAGCAGAATCTGTTTGCTTCATCAGCATCTCATTCTGTTTCTGAAAACGCCGATTCTCCTCTTCCACACGCTCTAAACGGCTGAGGTCAGTGTTATGGTTGGCAATCTTCTCATTGTAGCGCTTTCTTAGTGCATCATAATCTTTCTTTAAGCCTTCTAATTTGTCCATGGCAGTATCATATAGTTTATTTAGAATCTCAGATGAGCCATTTTCCCTCATAACCTGCAAACAATCAAGGAAAATTAAATCCATTTATTCTGATCAAAATCTACCTGCGCGCTCATATTACTGCATTTTAAAAGCTTTAACAGCGCTGAAGGATATCATCACAGTCTGGAAAAAAATCTTCGTAAAGAATTAGTTGTTTTATTCTGCAACTGATTAATTTCAATTCCACCAGCAGCTGTGGAGAGATTTGAATCTGTCTTCCCTCAGTATTAGCCTGGGCCTCGAGATTACTTGCCCAGTGACATTACCACCATGTCACCATTTCCACATTTCTCCCATCATGCAGGATGAAAAGTTTAAATACCACATTTCTTTGTTCGGCAATACTCAAGTTCCGTACTACTAAGCAGCTGTTTGTTTATAGACGGCATATGTAATGGAAAAATGACAGATTTATGTGGCTCTGCTGTGCATCATAAAATGATTTTCTGGGATGGAAGGGTTAAAGGCATTTCAGGTACTAATTTACTTCTCCACTGCCCCCACCAACTTAATAGCTCTTATAATCAATAACACTTGTCAACAAAATACAAACAAAGTAAATGGGTTAACAATGACATAGACAGTACAACTGACTGGTTAGGCCAAAGGAAAATCAATCACTACTGATTTCCAGCAGGAGTTAACACTGCTTAAGAACTGGGTTAGAAAATAATCAGTAACAGCTTTGATGTATTCCACAGCTGAATTGCCTGCTGACTGCCAAGATTCATGAATCAGCAACATCCACTTGAGCAAAGGTCTCGAAAATGACTTACGGTATTGTACCCTGACAAGGAAGGACTGAGATAAAAACAGAGCAAAACAAACACCTTTGGAAGCTAGTCTTATAATATAGTCCACATTAATGTTCTTTTAAGTGAATGTTCATTCAATGGGTCATTGTTTGCTGGTTCCAGCATGTTGTCTGGTTTGACTCTAACCTGATATCGCCCACATTATACAACACACTGATTTCTCTCACTTAAAACCTTTAAAAATGTGAGCTGTTGTTGTTTGGACCAAAGGACTAGGTTCACAAAGGTCATACTCAGTTATCCAAAGCATATATTTTCAATATTGAAAAATGCTCTGATATCTTTGTAACATGTTCAATGAAAATCATTGAAACGTTTGGTTTTTCAGTCTCATCTCAGATGGTGACAAGATCACTCAAAAGAGTGTCCCAAGGAGAACAACTGTAGAATGATGTGTCACATTTCAGCACCTATATAAAAGATATAACTACAGTAACAACACCAAACAGAAACTTGGTCTGAACTCTATCGTCGCTACTACAACCTTGGATCTCAAGATTCCAAAATTTTAGCTTGCGGTCCCGTCTGGGCTCCTAGACCCCATTTTGGGAAGCCCTGCAATATGTAATGAGTTTATTTGTTTTTAAATAATACAGGTCAGGGTGTTTACTGGTTACATCAGCATTTGAGAACAGGAGTGGAAATAATTGTATATAGTCTAGTGAATTATGAAAGTCGCTCAAAAAAAACCTCAATGCAAAACTGCCTAAAGGATCTGTAATCAGGATTACTTTTTAACCCGAGTCTTGGGACAGTTATTAAACTGACCTGATGTTCTATCACTCCATTCATCCTATGACCATTGAAAGCAGATTAGGAAAACAGAAATCCCCATTTCTGGAATTGAAGATGATTTGCCCATTTTCCAAATCATTTTAAATGAGTTGCAGGAGGCACAAGTATAAAGAATTCTGTGATTTAAAAAAAAAAAGAATTTAAAAATATGTTGCTATGATAACAGGCCAAGTTGACCTAATTCAAAATTGTTCAAGTCAGCCATTTTAGAAGACCATCGAGGGAAGGTCATTCCCAGTGCAACAAGGAAAACGTTATGTCTCTGCTACTGTGAACTAAGCAAAAGAAAAGAGAAACAATGACTTGCATCTTTTACAACTTCAGAATATTCTGAAGTACGGTGATGTTGAAACACAACAGCTAATTTAAGTACTGCAAGCTCACACAAACAGCAATGAGATAATGATTAAACAAGCTTAGTGATGTAAATGGAATAATAAGTATTACAGAACACTGGGGAGAATGATCACGTTGTGAGACTTTAAGTTTATAATTGTTAGTGCCACCCACTCCAAAAGATCTGTGCATCAGGAGCTACAGTTCTCTAAATAGACATTAGATGGTGCCACACTCAAGTCACTGGAGGAACCAACTTTCACGTGTTAGCACATAGTGTACATATCACAAAAGTAGTACAACAGGACCTTTCAAATGTCAACTTTCTTGTGCCAACCTATTCAATCCTTTAACCAGCAGTTTCAACCAAGGGCAAAGGTCAGGTATCAGATCATATGTGGACTTTAAAGATGAGATTGCATTGTTAAAACTGAACTTGTTTAACGACTAAAATTTACGAAAGAACATGATGCAAACACTATAATGGACGGGACAGTATAAATTCTAAGCAGTGTAGAATAACATCACTTCATTGGAGGCTCCAATAATTATGTCACCTAGCATGATGACGAAACGTCTGAACAAAAACAAGCCAGCTCCGCAAGCAAGTCAACAACCTCATCCATAACCGAGCCACAGATCTTTGCCAAAACTCTAAGCAAACATATTTTCCAACATTTACATTTATCTGCTGTCTTACATACAAAGCAATTTATTTAATAAAGGTTGTTTTCCATATTCATTTCATGATGTAAATTTTTATAATCAAGAATTATTCATCATTTACGATCTCAATATCTCACGATTTTTGTATTAATTTCTGCTTGTATTAAACATGTAACG